TGAAAAAACCTGCTCGTCAACATAACGAATACATAATGAGAACTGTTTGTGAAATATCAGTCGTTTCGTCTGCAAGTATTGTATAAAAATTAGTTTTTAAAACTCTTTCAAGAATTTTTGACTGAATTAAATCACCAAATTTATTATTTCGTTTTGTATAAGTGGACTTGTATACATAGATTTACAACCACTAGTTTCCAAATGTTCTTTTAACACGTTGTCACCATTTTTCGAACGATATCAAAGCAAACAACGGAAATTGCCATCGTTATTTTTTGGTTCTTCTAAAGAAATTCTACCAGAATCTTCGTGCCCCCGTAACGCTATTTGCTGTCTACCACATAACCGAATTGTTTGAATAATTGGCTTAAGTTTTGCGCGATTTTTTATAACTTCATCTTTTCGTTTATTATTTAATTGTACTAATATATTATCTTGTTTTTTTTCTAAAATTGCTTTTATGTTGTCAGCAGTAAGTAACGAATTTTTATGGTAATCATTTTTTTCGTGATTTCTAAAGTCTTCCAATGCGTCTTTTAACTTTGTCAATGATTTTAAAACAAGTTTACCTAACTTCTCATGTGATCCCTTACCAACCTGATTTAAATTTAAGAACAGTACACAGAATTTACAAAATAAATTTAATAAATTTTAATTATTATTAATTAATTTATTTATTAATAAATTAAATATTAATAAATTAATTAATAATTAATTAATAATAATTATTATTATTATTAATTATTATTACTCTTAATTTTGAATATGCTAACCATTTGAAAGTTTCAAGCCATTTAATTTGAAATTTACGTTTATATTTTCCACTATTGTCATATGGGAAATTAAACTTTAAATCGGGTGTCCATACGTTTTGCAAAATTGAAACTTTCTCTTCGTCACTTAAATTATTCTTGCATTCAACTTAACCTCCTATATCAAACTTAGAATCTAAACATTTTAAACTAGGTTCAATTACCGGAGAAATAACTGGTGGACTTGGAGCTTTTTTTTCTGTTTCAAGTGTTGCCATAATGTCATCATCTTGTAAAACATTCGACGTAGATGGAACTGTATCATCGACGGATTCGGTGGACTGTTTAGATTTTTTATAAAAATGCAACAATGATTGTTGAGTTCTTTTCATTATGCTTAGGTGTATTATTATTATTTTATTTAACCAACAAATAAAAACACTCGTCACAATCCACTGTCTTAGTAGTTATAGTAGGTACGTACTACGTGCGATACTAAACGTCATATATATCAGACAACAAAATATTTATCTATAATAGCGACTATAATATAACAGCGTTATCGGCCGTCGTCGTCACAACTTCTCGGAAATATTTTTAGCTCATACAGGCTCGTAATGCTCGTATAATTATTGTACGGTGATTGAAACGCGACAACGCGTGTATATCAGTAAATCAATTCTAGATAAAAGAAATCGAAATTACGATAATGCAGCAGTACCGCATGTAAAAATTAAGCATTATGTACGTTATTGAACTTTTACGATTTTACATCTAGTAAGTAGGACATAATACGTAGACTTAATAAACAATTCCTGGATTTCGAGGGGGGGGGGGAGGCTGAAGCCCCCTCAGCCACCCCCATAAATACGCCCCTGGCACACACGTTAAAACCGTAGTGCATACTTGTACATTCGTGGTGCACATTGTGTGTCGGGGTGCACATAAAAATAGGGCCTGGTTATGAGATGTATACTGCATGCAGGTTAAAATCTCATTCGTATAACCACTAAATTAGACAGATTTTAATAAAATTATATCATATTATTAACATTATATAGTAATATTAACAATAAGTACAATATTATTTATAGATATTGTAATACGTTATTTTAACAATACAATTTCAGATCAGTATATATAATTAGAAATTAGTAATTACTATACTGCACTAATGGTAAAACAATATTATGGCCAGGCTCGTAACAGTATTTGTACGATGATGACGTCACTTGACAAGGGGGGAAGCGGTAGTTTTGAATGTAAACACATGATTATGAGGTAACCTTTACTATCTATAAACCTTGGGTGTCAGTGTGTGAGTTCTATTTTCACAACCGGACGCCGTGAATTACCACGAGCACATAAAGATTTCCCGGCACACCACTACTTATCCAACAACTAGATAAGTCACATACGACGGGCACTACAGAGTTCAATAAAAGATAATGAAGCTAATCAATAAAATTATAAATATATTTTCAAATAAAATACAACAAAATAAACAGTACCCAAAATCGGTTTTTGTAATGCAATATATGACCACCATGTAGGTATCATTAACAAAATTAACAAACTCTTTTTGTTTTACAAATAACTATTTTTATACAATCATATTTTTGATTAATGCCAATTCACGTGATCACGTGAATATGATTCAGATACGTGCTCACGTGATTAAGCTTTCGTTGATTGTCGTGAATTAACCATACGTGATTTATTTTGATTCATTCACGTGATCACGGTATACGTGAACACGTACATTCATATTCACGCACAAAAGCGAGACCCCTATTCAATCTAATGATTGGTTTGCAGCAATTTTCATGCTTCTCTAACACTAGCTTTTCTCTTCAATTCTTGGTATGAGTTACATCCTTGATCTTCCATTATCTGACTTATGTATTGCAATCTTGGTCTTCCCCTATGGTTTTTTTTCCGTCGATTACACCTTCTAAGATTAGTAATAGCAGCCCATCATGTCTTAAAATATGACCTATTAATTCGTTTCGCCTTTTCTGTATACTCTTCCACATTGATTTCCTCTCCGATACCTTTTCTAAAACTTCTTCATTAATGATTCTATCAGTCCAACTTATCTTTTGCATCCTCCTGTAACACCACATTTCGAATGCCTCTATTCTTCTCATTTCTTCTTTTGCAATAGTCCATGTTTCACATCCATATAACATAATGCTCCAGATGTACGTTTTTAGCAGATTCTTCCTGATATTGAGGTCAATGCTTTTTGAAGTAAAAATATTTCTTTTCTTATTAAATGCCACTTTAGCTTGGCATATTCTTTTTATAATTTCTTTTTTGCATCTCCCATCTGAGCTTATAGTGCTGCCTAAATACAAGAAGTCTTCTACTTGTTCAATATTTTCACCATCCTTTAATTTTATACTTGTTCTTATGCTGTTGTATCTACTACATACGAGTACTTTCGTTTTCTTTGTGTTTATTTTCATATGTAAATCTTTTTTCCATCACTTGTTCCAATGTTTCTAAAAGTGTTTTTAGATCTTTTTCGTTCTCCGCTATTATTGCAATATCGTCTGCGAATCTTAACATGTCTATTCTGTAACCGTTTACCTTTATTCCTAGTTGTATTCTCTCTCTTATGATATCTATGGCCTCTTGTATATAGGCATTAAATATTAAAGGTGATAATGTACATCCCTGTCTAACACCTTTCTTTATTTTGGACTCTTTTTGAATATCACCTATTTTTATAATTGCTATTTCATTTTTATACAGTTGGTAGAGCAATTTTCTTTCCTTTGTTGCAATTCCTGCTCTTTTCATCATTTTAAACATTATTTCCCAGTTAACGTTGTCGAATGCTTTCTCAATATCAACAAAGGCAATAAACGTTGACTTATCTTTCCTTATTCTTTTCTCCACTATTAATCTTAAAGCCAATATCGCTTCCCTCGTGCCCATATTTTTTCTAAATCTAAATTGGTCCTCTGATAATGTGTCTTCTATTTTCCATTCCATTCTTTTATACATAATTTTTGTTAGAATCTTTGAGGCGTGCGATAGTAAGCTAATGGTTCGATATTGTTCACATTTTATAGCTGATGTCTTTTTTGGTATGGGAATAATTACACTCTTTATAGAGTCAGTAGGTATATCCGCCGTTCTGTAAATATCTCTAATGAGTTTAAATAATTCATTCAGCATATTTTCTCCTGCTTTCTTCCAAAGTTCGGCCTGGATCCCATCTATTCCCGGTGCTTTCTTTGGTTTTAAGTCTCTTAATGCTTTGTCAAATTCTTCTCTTAATACTGGATATTCTACATATTCTTCATCTTGCTCATTGTCGTTTATCTTTTCTAAGTCTGTAACAAACAGTTCTTCTTCTTTGTATAGTGTTTCTATGTATTCTTTCCATCTATCTACAACCTGTTCCTGTTCATAAATTATCTCTCCTTCTTTATTTTCTATTGCTCCACTTTTGAGTGTACGTACTCCGAAGAACCTTTTTACTGTTTTATATGCTTCCTCTATCTTGCCCATTCGCATCAAAATGTCTATTTCCTCGCACTTTCCTTCAAGATATTTTTCTTTTGCTGCTTTTGATTTCCTTATGATCAAGTTTCTTAAAGTCCTGTATCTCTTTTGATATTCATTAGTGTTTAAGTTTTTATACTTCCTTCTCTCTTCTAGCATTTCAATAATCTCTGGTGTTATCCATTCTTTCCTCGGTAATGTGCTTTTTGTTTCTTTCATTATCTCAGTTGCTGCATTTGTAGTTGTTTCTCTCAAGGAAGTCTACCTGGTGTTAATGTCCTGTTCTTCATGTGTTTTTATTTTATTTGTGTATTCTTTAAACTTTTCATTTACTTTTTCTTCCTTTAGTTTATTAGTTTGCCATCGATTGGTGTTTCCTCTCCTTTTAATTTTTTTAAAATTGAGATTGCATTTCATCATGACCAAATTGTGGTCACTGTCTATATCCGCACCAGGATAACTCCGACTATCTTTGACTTGGTTTTTAAATCTATTTTTTACCATGATGAAATCAATTTGATACCTTCCCACATCTCCTGGCATTTTCCATGTGTACCTTCTCCTTGGGTGATGATCGAAACATGTATTCGTTATTATCAGATCATGTTTTGCACAAAATTCCACCAGTCTATCTCCCCGATCATTCCTTTTTCCCAGACCATATTTTCCCATAATATTTCTTTCTCCTTTTCCTTCTCCTACTATTGCGTTCCAGTCTCCCATGATGATCAGATTTTCTTCTCCTTTGATTGTATCAATAGCTTTCTCTATTTGTTCGTATACTTCTTCTACTTGGCTATCATTACTGTTGGAGGTTGGCATATAAACTTGTACTATGATTGTGTCTTTTGGTTTGGTTTCTATTTTAACAAGAATAATCCTTTCACTGTACTGCACGTAACTTTTCACTTTCTTTCCAATGTCCTTTCTAAACATTATGTCAACTCCTCCCCTTCCAGGGTTCTCAACAGATGTGCCTGAGTATATAACTTTATAATCTCCACTCCATATATCTCCAGTTTCAGGCCATCTTACTTCCAAAATTCCTAGAATATCAATGCTCATCCTTGCCATTTATATTTTTAGATTATCCAGTTTCCCACATTGTAATAGGGTTCGTACATTCCAGGTTGCTATTTTTCTATCTTGTCTACTTTTCTTGACCATTCTTTCCTCTCTAGTAGTCCCCACCCTGAGATCCGAACGGGGGACTATTTTACCTCCGGTATCTTTTACTTGAGAGAACGTCATGTTCATTGCTTTAACTAAGGAATATTAATGCGGTGGTTTCCTATTTGCCTTCCGCATCGCAGTGTAATCACCAGTTATATGGCTGCCATATCTGCTGTTTATTATTTGACGTGTAGCTGTTTCTACCTCTACGAGGTTACCTGCACCTACACTCAATATTGTAGGAGCTGCTGCCCTCCTACAAGTCCCATTTGTCGCCTCTTACGACAGGCAGGGACAAACCGGTGGTCTATTCTAACCCCAACCACCGGGGGGAATTATTAAAATATGAAAATATTAAGTCTTAATAGATGGCGTGAACAACATTTTGAATGGGTTGAAAACTATGCACTATGCTTTCAAGCCTCATAAATAACGTGTATTTTCCAGCGGCTGAATACGAATATAATAAGTTATATTTATTAATTATTAAATATTAATCAATGTTATTAATAATTTTGTTGAAAATTCCATGAACTACGGGTTTAGATTATTAACCAACTATGATAAAGAAAATACAATGGAAAACATTCTATTTTTAGATACTTTTGAAATAATATTGTATTGTCTAGTTGTAAGAATCATTAACAGTTTTATCGACGGCAACTCGCGAGGTACTGTTATCTACAATCTACTGTATATTTTTAATTTTGTATAATCGTATATTCGTGTATGTAGTTTATACTATTCTATGTATTGTGGTCATTTGACAGTTGATTTTTTTCTTGATTGTTACTAAACTGTTTGGTGTTAAAGGTATTTTACCGATACGATTTTTCGCCATTTTAAATTAAATCAATATTTAATTAATTATTTAAATGATTTACTCGTCGTCATGTCAGAAAGCAATAACGAAAATGAGACTATTAAAACAAAAAAGGTCAGGTCTATAAAATATTTTTTTTCTGCGCCTAAAAAGATAAAATTGGATCATCTGATTTTGATTCTTCTTCTGATGGTAAGTTTTTTTAAATAAATATTATGAGAATTAATAATTAATATTAAATCATAGCTAATGAACATTTTAGCAATGAATCCGAAAACTATAAAATTTGTAGTAAATAAAAATATTCATCATTCGACTATAATGGTGATTGAACATAATACAACTAATACAGAGTTTTCAAAACCATTTAAAAAGTAAGTTGACAATTTTTTT